GAAAGAGAGAGAGAGAGAAAGAGTATGCATGTGTGTATATATGCAACAGTCTGGTTACATTTTGATGTGGGGTAGGATGGCATATATGTGGGGTCTAAAACTTTGGGTCCTGGCAAGCGTGTAACAGAAAGGATGAGCACATGTGTTTGAGGGAATGGATAAGGATAGGGATATAGCTGGGAGTGTCTTGGAGAACTGTGTGTGGGAAGGGTGAAGGGTACAAGCAAGGGGATCTATGGTGAAGCTTTTGTGTATATGTGTGTGTGTACAGCTGCTTACCTTTCCATCAGGTCCTTGATGCCCTGGAAGACAGAAAAACAGTCAAGACTATCCCTTGGGACAGATGAACACAACAGCAAAACACCGTCTCTGCCCCCTCCCCCTCCCACCGCTTCTTCCAGCTCTGGTTCATCCCTTTTCCATTTCTCCAACTACTCCCCCCCGACCCCCACACACACACCCTCTGCACCCTTTTTCTCAGAGCTCTTCCCACCTGGCACCTCCCACCTTGCTTCCAAGTATCAGACCCCACCTCCTTCCTGCAGAATCCAGGTGTCCTGGCTTCCACCCTGCAACCAGTCTAATCCACCTGACCCTACCCCCTCCCAAAGGTGGGAGATCCCAGGCCTCCCAGTGCCCACCCTCAGCTCAGTCAGTACTCTTCCATCCTATGTTGCCATCACCTGGTGATGCCAATCCCATCTACATGCCATCCCCAACAAAGCACAGACTTACACTCAGGAAGGTGATTGGATCTGTCCCCTCCAGCGCTGCCCGTGTCCTGGCCAGGGTCTCATTGCAGAACTCCACATCCTCCCTCAAATCCTTCAGGCTCTCCTCCATCTCTGCCAGATTTGCCTCTTTCATTGTCTTCACAGTCTCCTTCATGTTTTGCTCCTTCTCCCTCAGGACTTGGTGGAGGCCCTCAAACCCCATGGAGATGTGATCCAGCAGGTCTTGAAGGCAGACCTGTTGTGGACAGAGGCACCAGTTGGCAGTTCTGATCCAAGGTATCAGCATCTGTACCCCAGAGCCTTCACAGGGTGAAGCAAAGTCCTAGATTGGATGGTCCAGTTAGTGGGATGGGACCCTAGGATCCATGCTATGCTAGCTCAGTCCTTGACTCCACCATTAACTTCCATATGGCCCTGGACAGGTTGCCACATTCATTCCTCATCAGTTATCTAGAGATAATACCACTGCCCTTTCTTGCAACACTGGGCAAAATCTTCCCTCCAAAAATGCAGATTTGGTTTAAACAAAGCCATTTGCAAATTCACTTTTGATTTCCAATCTCATTCAGTCTGGGAAGGGGGAGAGGTATAAACACATTCAGAGGGTAGAATAAAAAAAATTAATTCCACCATTTTTTAAACAAACCATGTTGACTTTTTATCAGTTCTGAAAGGCATTTTAGTTCAGAATTTACTGCTTTTTTTTTGCAAGTCATTTTCCTTTAAGGCTGCCCCAAAATGAATTTCCCTGCCTTTGTTCAGAATCACCAGTGAAGCAGAAGACCAGTAATTCATACAGCTCTAGCTGCAAGGAACAGAATTCTTTGGATGGGAAGACTTACTAAACAACCAGTCTCCCCACCCCATACCCCTCCATTTTCAATAACACCTTTCATTGCTCAACATGAAAAATTATTTGTGAAAAATGGGTGTTTTCAATATTTTAAATATCATAATGCTGACTGTTTTGCCTTTCTCTGAGTTGGTTAGAGCCTGAACTTGGAGGGAGCATTGAGGGCCCTGTTTTAGAGATGGGGAAACTGAGGTATAAGCCTGTCCGTGACTTGGCCAGATTCATTCAGGCAACCAAGGGCTGAGCTTGGTACTGACCCCCTGGTGTCCTTGGTCCCAGTGCAGTGCCCCACTCTCTAAGTCAGTGGTGGTTGATTTGTGGTACAAATGCCACAAGTGGCATGGGCAGCCCCTGGGGAACATAACAGATCATAGAAGGGACAGGCAAAACAGCATCAGATAGGGCAGGAAGCAGAAATCAGGCAAAGCAGGAAGCAAATCAGACAGGGTGAACAGACCAGGAAGCAGAGCAGGATAGCTGTAAGGAGCACAGATTAGGAAACAGAAAGCAAAGCAGCAGAGGAGGGGGTTGGAGTGGCACCCAGGGAGGATGTGGGGCTAATTTGTGGAGTCTCTTCTAAAAAGGTTGCGTCTCTCCCCCCCGCTCTAAGCCACACTGGGTAGTTCCTTAAAATCATTGTATGTTGTCCAGGCACTAAAGTCCAAGAGCTTGTGCTGCTCTCAGGGAGGAAAAGCATCTTAAAAGACTCAAGTGTATCTGTGACTCCACAGCCATACCTCCAGCTTCACTTTGTTTTCTTCCTGGTGTTCCTGCTTCTCTGTGGCGGAGGTCAGATTGCCCTCCAGGGTCCCAAGGCAAGCCTTCAGTTTCTCCTGTGCAACAGGAAACCCACAAGTCAGTAGCAATGGAGGGCTCAAGGACTGGAGCCCCTCAGCTATATGACCTTGCCACACAGATGACCCCCACTCCCACCCCACCCCACCAAGGAACAGAGATGAAAATACAATGCAGGGGTCCTTCCCCCACCTGCAGTCTAACCCCCTGGACCCACATATCCCTCCCACAGCTGGGACAGAAGTCAGGAGTGCTGGGTCCCAGCCCCACCCCCCGTTCTCACGCAGTGCACACTAGCCTTCAACCTTGCGATCATGGCTCTTGACCCCCCTGTTTGCAGGAGCAGACCCCAGTCTCCTTCCAGAGCTGGGGAGAGAACCCAGGCTTCCAGCTGCTGTCACCCATAGGAATCCAGGTGTTGGGGTACCCACCTGGTACTCCTGCACAGCGTTTTTGATGGGCAGGAAGTCATGGCCCCGGTGCTGGGGCAGGTCCCGGCAGATCACACAGATGGGAGCCTCATCCTGGCTGCAGAACAGCTTGAGGGGCTCCTCGTGCTCTGTGCAGAAGCACCAGCTGGCCCCGGCACCCGGGGGGAGCCCCTCATCCAGCTTCAGGACTCGGGCTTTGTCAGCCAAGCTACGCAAGGCCCAGTTGGCGACTAGGTGCTGGGGCTTGAATGGGACCCGGCACTTGGGGCACAGCCCCTGGTGCTGCCCAGTGGGTATGCAGGCTTTCAGGCAGGGTGTGCAGAAGCTGTGCCCACATGGCAGCATCCGTGGATCCTTGAACAGGTCCAGGCAGACGGGACACACCAGGTCCTCTGTGAAGCTGGACACCTCCAGGGCTGAAGCCATTGTCAGATGAGACAGCCCTGCTGACCCTTGTTCCCTCCGACACGGGTTTGGGGCTTTCGCTTTCGTTTCCTATTTAGCTGCTGGCAAGAAAGGCGGAAGGGGCGTGGAAGGTCAGCTTATTTACATGCAAAACTGTTACCACCCAGAGCTGGGGAAGGAACACTTGCATCCTGGTTTCCCAGCCACCTGCTTTAACTAGCCAATTGAAACACTTGCCAATAGAGGATACCCCCTCCATGATAAAAGAAAATTGTTCAGTTCTCTCAGTCAGTTGTTAGAGATTCATTTTATGCCCCAGGCACTTCTTTGGGGCTGAGCATATCTGATTGAATATTCAGCACTCCTCCTGTCCTGCTGGGGGAACCTGAGAAGTCACTGCTAGGACTTATGCCTGAGTTTCCCCATCACTAAAATCACTAAACTCCTGTCCCCCACCCCAGTCTAACCTGCTTCTGGTCCAAAACAGCCTGTCTTGTCAAGTAATTTCCAGGTCACATCCTGAAACCATGAGGGTGTACGCTCCAGCTAGAGGGAGACCGTGGACCATGGAGCAGCCCTGGTTCTACAGGGGCTGAACGAGGTCCGGAGCGAGGACGGGCTACAGAAGGAAAGCCCAGAGACCATGTCCAACCACAGGAAGATATGGATGGAAGTCAGAGACAGAGACGGGCTCCCCGATGATGACTGCCAGGCTGTCTGGGATCAGATCTTCCACAAAGACCTAAGAAAACACCATAGAGACTTGAACTGGCTCATAGCTCACGGCGTACTCCCAGTGAAGGCATAGAGGCACAGAATGAGATGAGAGTCTAGACCCAGACCCAGCTGCCCCAGGGAAAGCTGCCAGGTGAGAACAAGACCATTGACCACCTCCATCGACCACCTCCTGTGGCTCTACCCCTATGCCAAGGGTGTGTGGGAAAGGTAAGCCGGCTCCTGGAGGAAGTAACAGGACTCAGGCTGATGACAAGGGAGGCAGCGCTGTACGGACACCTGACTAAACATCGGGGTCCCAGACACCCCACTTCAACAAATTTGTGTCCTGGGTCAGGAGCACCCTGTGGCAATGCAGGAACCTCCTGGTGTACAATCACATTAAGCTCGAGCAAACGGACTGGGTTAAAATGTTTCTGAGCAAACTCCAGTCCCACTACCGGAAAGCAGTGGGAGAGGACGGAGACATCGCAGCCAGCTCCACCTGGAAAAGGGACACGTGGCACAGGCTGTTCAAAGTCCCCCGGGGAGGGGAAGTGGACAGGGAGAACAAAGGGGATAACAATACAACTGGATTTGGAGACAGCAAGGAGGGCAACAACAGGATCAGCAACAGTGGAAGCGACAGCGGCATCAACAGCGACAAGGGCTGTGAATGAACTGAGAAGGGAAACCTCAAATTGGGGCCGGGACTAAGGAACTATGATTGGGTTAGATAAGGGAAGAGTGTGCATAGGCGCAGGGGAGCGAGTGCGGTTATTGTAACAGGTGTGCAGTTTTCTTAAGGTGGTTTTAAAAAGAAAAGGTGCAATGAAGTCTATGATAGAGGAAATATATATATGTATACATATATGTATATATGTATATCTATATATTTAGGGGGAGGTGTATATATATATACACCTCCCCCTAAATATATAGATATATTTTAATTTTTTTAAAAACCTGTTTTTTTGGCTCGGATTAAGTGTAGACCTGTTCTTATCAGCTTATCTGACAGGGGAAATACTGTGACCACTAAGGCGGTTTTCCTATTCGCTAGAGGATAACTGCTTTTTTGGCACAGGGTAGTACCTGCGGAGGAAATGTATGGTTAACCTCCCGCTTTTGTATCTAGTGGGAATATCTTGGCTTTATGCCCACTTTATGGAAATGAGAGATTCATCCCTAGCTTGCTCCTGCGCTATACAGCTGAGGGCAAGCAAAACTTGAGGGCATCCAAACCCCAACCCTCTAGGCTTGGCACTAGGATGCCTGCCAAAGGATTTGGAAGTATCTGAAGTCCCAGGCGGGGGTGGAGGATATTTGCCAGCAGCAGGGCTACATGTGGTTCTTGAATGACTCACAGATTTGGAATTGATTTGGGTTGGAACAATTTTTTTTTTCCCCATAAAATAAAAAGTCTAACCCTCTGGACCCAACTAGGCAACTGTGGAGTAAATGTCTCATATAGGCATGCCCAGTAAGGTTTTCAAATATCCAAGGTAACTGAATCCCAAAATCCCAAGCTGTTTTGACAAATGTTACATTCCCCTAAGCTTCCTCTGATAAGCTCCTAGCACAAGTGTTTCCAAAGCAATGAGCAATCAATCTTGCAGCATTAAGGCTCCTGCCTGTCTGAAAAGGCCCTTTATGAAGTGATCCTGAGTCAATACACTGAAACTTTGTTTTCTCACTTACTATAACCCCCCAAATAAGACACACCCTGTTTCAGGGAAAGCAAAAAGAAGAACAGATGTCCCAGTTTTAATGGCTGAATAAAGCAAAGACAGAACTTAATCCTCAACTCATTCACCCTCCCTTTTCCTGTTCAGGCAAAAGCTACAGTTTTAACCCTTTCACAGATGAATTGTCAGCAGCTCTTTGCTGCTTAGCCAAAAGCTGAAATGTAGCTGCTGCTGAAGACTAGAAGGGCAGATCTAGGATTCAGAAAAGAGCTAAAAAACAGTCAGCAGGGCTGTAAAATAAAAAAAGAGAGACCAGGAGTGGCTAAATTGCAAATTATTCAGCAAAATTTCTGAAGAAAGGATAGCTCAATTAGTACAACATCAAGAACATTGACTTGGAGAGTAGTTCATTAACAGCTATTGAGTGAAGAACAATTAGCAGGAATCAAGTAGATTCTAATAAGCCATGAAGTCAACCGTCTCCCTCAGCACAATAAATCAACACCCCAAGTTTGAAAGGCTAATTTTGGGGGGAAAGGTGTGTGTGGCATATGAGTAATACGGTAATGACCTCCCTGCATTATGGGAGTGGGATAGGAAGGAGGCTGTAAGCCAACGTCAGTGGGGAGGGGACAAGGAAGGCCAGAGAACTGCAGCGGGTGTCCCATGGAGGGTGAGATGGGGGCAGGAGCTGTGGCATGCCAAAGGGTCTGCCTGCTGGATGAAGACCTCGTTGCCATTGGCGTTAATTGACTTCACCATCTCAGACAGCTTGTGGGAGAGCCCTGCCATTGGCTGGGCATATGTGGTAAGAAAGAGCTGATTGGCCCATTGGTTGAGCAGAGAGCTGTCAGGAGAAAGGTGGGATGGAGGTGGGGGAAAGAGAGAGACAAATGGATGGGTGAAAACAGACCAGTACACATGAGGAGGGTGGAGTTTGGGCAGAGGGCCAGTAGGACACTCCTCCCCTAGGGGACAGGGGGAAGGAGATAGGGGCTAGTTGACCGGACCGCAAGAAATAGCCTGTTTTCCTTGAGCAAATCACTACCCTGGGATGGATATGGACAGATGACAACCTAATGACTGGGGCTGGATGCTAAAATATTTTGTTGGGGGATGGGAGTTGGTGATGAATGCATTTTTCAGTAAATAGTAAAAAGCTGCTGCTCTGCTTGCTGCTCCTTGCCCTACCTGCCACTGTGCTGCCTGACCCCTCCCCAATCTACCTCATGCCACGCACAGAGATTGCTCATGCCCCTTGTGGCACCAGTGCTACAGGATGGCTACCCCTTGCCTAGTGGTTGGGGCAGTCACCCACAATGCAAGTCTAGGTTCAAACCTGTGCTCTGAATCAGGCCGAGCCTTTTAGCTAAGCTCATACTTACTTGGCAGGAGAGATGCCACGATCACCACCACGGTGGATGTAGTATCCATCCAGGTGGTTTTGCTCCTCTCCCTGACCTTGAATATCTTTGTGTAGTTAAGGGCAGAAACTTGTCTACTGAGAGTCTACTATAGTCTCCCAATGGGAGGATCTCGGCTACGCACTTTATTTTATGGAGATGGGGGATTTCTCCCTAGCTTGCTCCTTTGGCCTTTGGCTAGAGGCAAACGAGACTCGGGGGCATCTAAACCCTAAGACCTCTGTGCTTGGGGCTTGCATGTAGGAAGCCTGCCACAGATTTGGGAGTATCTGAAGCTCCAGGATAGCTTACTCCTGCAGCCATATGACCATGCGCAACTGGTGCCACCTTAGTTGGGGGGGGGCATGTGCCCACCCCAGCAACCAGTTAGCAACTGGGGGGGGGTTTCCCCCACAGCCAATCGCACCAGCTGGGAAGCAGCCGCAGCGCTCCCACTCCTTGGCCAGCACTTGCAGGGGAGACACTTGCACTCCCGCCTATCCCCGCTGCCCATCACCTGAGCAGGGAGCGCGGCCTATCAGGGGGTGCACCAGTGCTCTCAGGGGGTGCACGTGCACCCCCATGCACTGCCTATGCATCGTCACTACATACAGCTGAGGGCAAGCGAAACTTGGGGGCATCCAAACCCCAAGCCTCTGGGCTTGGGCCTACACATAGGATGCCTGCCAAAGGATTTGGAAGCATCTGATGCCCCAGGCAAGGGTGGAGGCTGCTTGCTGTCAGCAGGGCCACATATGGATCTTGAATGACTCACGGATTTGGAATTGATTTGGCTGATTTGACTAGGGATAAGAAAAATTTTCCACAAAAAATCATTTCTGAGAGGTAGGGTACGTGGCAGTGATAACACCACATGGACCTGAATGACTGAAATCTTCTCAGTGAATAGAATTTGGAACTGTTTTGACTAATTTGGCCTGGGCCATGAAATAAAAAAAAAAAAAGGAGGTCTCTTCAACCCCAGTGAGTGCTCTGTGATGGGTCTCAGAAGGTGATAGGGGGAAGATCAGACAGGGGTCACCCCCTCTCCCCCCGCTTCAGGAAAATGTTCACCTTTCTGGATCCTGAGAGAAAAGAAAGGCCTGTCACTGGTTCCTGCTGCCCTTTGACTCTGCATTTCCCTTCTGGGTAGCCTGGGCAGGTGGTTTTCCATTCAGCTGGTTCCTGAAGCACCTGAATCTCTCCATGTGCTTGTGGTCAGATTTGGATGGCAGCTTTTTGGCAAATGCACTGAAAAATCAGTGCCACCAAACTCACAGTGAATGTGATTCTCTATCATTGCTCCAAAGCATTCCCTTCAGCTCAGCCCAAGGGTGGGAATCTGCAGATCAGAGCAAAGGGTGTCAGCAGGGAATGTGGGTCCAGCAGCTTTTCCCCATTCCAGTGACATCTGCTGAGGTCATAGCACTGCAGGCTTGGAAGGTACTTCAAGGGTTGTCCAGTCTGATCCCCTGCACACAGGCAGGATTTGATGTTCCTGGACCATCCCAGACAGGTGCTGCTCCAGACTCTTCTTGAAAACCTGCAGTGTGGGAGATGCCACAACTTCCCTGGGCATCTCGTTCTATGTTCTGCTGTTCTAACCATTAAGACTTTTTTTGAAAATGAATTTAATTCTGCTTTGCTGCAATTTAAACCCAGGGCCTTGTGTCCTGCCTTCCTTCTGTGGTAAGAGAGAACAGTCTTTTTTTCCTCCACCTTCTTTATGGCAGCTTTGCCAATAGTTGAAAACAGTCATCATGTCATCCCTTCACCTCCTTTTTGCTAAACAGGCCTAGTTTCTTCAACATTTCCTCACGCAGCTTTCTTTCCAACCTGTCTGTCACCTTTGTCACTTGCTTGTCACTAGTTTCTCTAAATCCACCTTAAGTGAGGGGCCCAGAAGTACTAGACACAGGACTTCAGCTGAAGCCTAACCAGCACTGAGTAGAGTGGTAGACCTCCCTTGTCTTACATCGGTGGTTCTCAACCAGGGTGCCCCTTGCAAAGCTGCAAGGGTGCTACACCTCTGGTGCTGACACCACCTGAACCAGATGAAACTGCCATGGGGGTGCCTCTGTTTGCAAGAAGCACGTGCAGATCCAGACTGGGAAGCAGCTATGGCAGCTATGCCCCTTTAAGGGTGTGGTGGGGAGGAGAATGCAAGTAGATTGAAGAGCAGAGCACGAGCCCAATGATTTTACTGTGCCAGGACACGTGAAGTCAGAAATAGGAGCCTGGCAACCCCTGCAGCTTTGCACACCAGCACCATGTGCAAAAAGTAATGAGGAGCACATGCACTGCACAGGCAAGTACCAGAGTTCAGCTGCCATAGCAATCACAACAGTAGGCTTTAAAATACCCTAAGAAGACAGTGTAGGGAGCTCATTCAGCACCTGGGTCAGGTTTAGGGGAAGGGGGGTTATTCTGACTGTTGGAGAACAGCATGGGAGGTGGGAAGTGCCCTCTACACTCAAACAGCAGCTACTACTGCTCTGGCTGCTGCTATAGCAGCATGGGCTGGGGCTGCTGCCACGGGGAGACAGGCTCTCTGCACACCATCAGCAGCACCCCCCTGCTTGCAGAAGCTCCATTTCAGTGCCAGGGACTCACAAATCTCTTTCTGTAGCATCTACCACTTGGCCCCGCTACTCAGCTGGTATCCCAGCCACTCCTCTTGAGGGTCTTGTCACTGACCCGCACTGAATGTGGGTCCCCAAATTTGTGACCCTTACCCACCACAATCTCCTATTTAATCCCCTGTTCCTGTGATCTGAAGGAAAAGGAGGGGAGGGAAGGTCAGGGATGTAAATAAAAGGGCAGGGCAGGGCAGGTGTTTTGCCAAAGAAAACATTCACTGACCACATCTACACATTCATTAATGCACCTTTGCTACTGCGCATTAAGTTTAGTACCTGTAATACAAGGTACTAGATAAAGGCACATGAGCCTGCGCTAATGCGCATTAGCAAAGGTGAATAGTTTTTTTGGGGGGGATGCTTAATGCACAGTAAACTAATTCTAGTGTGCATTAACATGGTTTCTGCCATGGCATGCTAATGCACGGTAGAATAGCCTACTGATCATTAAGGCATCTCAAGTAGATGACCCCACAGGGTCTGACTGACCTGAGAGCAGTCCACCTAGGTCCAGCCTTTGGGAACCAGATGGAAAGACCAGTCCAGATGTATCTTGAAACTTGTGTCAGTTCCGTTATGAAGTTTTGTCTTAACAGGTGACAGGCATCTGGGTAAATACAAATTGGTCCTAATTTTCTTGTGTGTCCGTGTAGTGAAAAATCTTAGCTACAGAACTACTGTTTGTCCAGCCAGCCATTCCCATACACACAGTATGATTTCTCCGACCTTCCACCCATTCACCTCCATGCATCTATACATGCCCCCTTCCCTCCATGCTTTTATCAATACAGAGCCTTAAACTGCCTTTGTGTCTAATCAATAGTTGGATGGCTAATTGAGAACCCAGGATTTTCAAATACCTGCTGCTCTTCCCCAGTTCAATGTGCTGTGGTTCTGGGCACACATGCAAATGCTGCACTGACAGCAATAAACGCCAATGCAAACTGTGCCGGAGTTTATTGGTACATGCTAATTGTACGTGTAGATGTCTCCAGAATGGTCAAGAAGGATCCTGGGTAAATTAGAGTGATGGGCATAAATTTGACTGGGAACAGCAGGGGTGAGTCCACAAGACAGTCCCTCTTTGGATATATATTCTCCCCGTCTAGGAAGGCAGGTGGTCAGCTGTGTTAGTTTGAAGTCAAGCAGAAGGCAGGGAAGGGTATCATCTGATGAAGTAGGCTGTCACATAGGAAAGCTTATGCTTCTCTAAAACCTTGCCCCATCTTTTCCCCATGAGAAAGAACTGGTATTACATATGGCCTGCATTACCCTGAACGGTCACTGGATGTCAGTGCTGCACACAGAATTGTGTGAGGAGTACGTAATAGCGGAGCTGGCTGGAAATGAGACTTATAGTAGTGGCTCTCAACCTTTTTAAACTAAAGGCATCCCTTGATAGGCTCAAAGAACCTATCAGAAAATGCCGGCTCTTAGTTTTCACTCTTTTTTGACTATGGAAAAACAATATGACATTTTTTTCTGTTGCGAAGAACTCAAAAAGACCACAAAACAGCAGGGGTGTAGGACCACAAAACAGAAGAATATTTTTAACATTATAGGGCATGTCCCCACCAGTGGGAACGTATATTTCCCTGGGGACAAGGAGCAGCGGCACACCTTGTGCTGCTGCTACCTCTCCCTGGGGAACACCTTGCCACAGGGGCTCTGGCGCACAGCAGGTTACCCTGGGTGGGATAGGGGAGGCTGGGTCCAGCAACTGTACTAGCCCCCGGCAGCATTACCTGGGATCCCAGGGGCCTCCAGGAGTTGCAGCCATGGCACTTCTGCAGTAATGACAACTCTCATGAAAAAAATCATGAGACTCCTGATAAACAGGTCAAATTAACTCTGACTCATGATTTGCTGATAGAGAGATCAAATCTTAGGACTTTTTTCTTCTGGCTCAGGTAGAGAGTGCCAAGCTGGTATGCCTGTGGAAGGTAAGGGGTAGGGTGGGGAGGGGGGAGTAGATCAAGGCCCCCCGGGGCGGTGGGGGGTCAGATCAAGGCCCCCACAGTGAGGGAGGGAGCGAGGAACGGGCCGGGGTGAATGGGGCCCCAGGACTGGGGCAAATCATGCAGCAGAGCCATGGGTGACTCTGTGTGTGTGTGTGTGTGTGTGTGTGTGTGTCTATAATTCCCAAGCCACAGCCCCCCCAGCCCTGTAGCTGCCCCTTGCTCCTGACCCACATACCCTGCATCCTGCCAGGGCATGCAGGGCCCGCCCCCTCCCCAGTCTCCAAACCCTACACACACACACCCACAGCCCTCTACACTTTCATAAATAACCCCCCCTCACACACATTTCAAAAATAGCATCTCATGATTTAAATTCCAAATCTCTTGATTTTTAAGAGTTTGTCTCATGGGGCTTTTTTTGACACAGTGGGGTTGGCAATACTGCTTCTGTAGCAGGGAGCCTGGCCGACAACTGGAGTGTGCCTCTGGCTGGCCAAGCTTCAATTTTGGGTGGAGCGTACTGCTGCCACATGCAGTGCCCTGCTCCTTTTCTACAAAGTAGCAGCATGGGGAACACCTGCATGTGCAGCATGTGGTGCTGCAGACTGGTTTGCGGCACTACATACCGCACATCCACACTCATCTGGATGCACACAGCTTCTTATTTGAAACCATTGAGTTCATTTTGTGAATTTGTTTGCATGCCTACCAAAGCTGCAGCAAAGGCTGGAGACTTTGATGGGTGTGCCAATGCTCCTGCTGGGACCAAAGCCAGAAGTTCCTGGATAGCGGGTCTTTCCCCTCTGCTCAAGGTCAGACTGATCATGATATTTGGGGTCAAGAGGGAATTTTACTCCATGGTCACATTGGTATGGACTGTGGAGTTTTTTGCCTTCTTCCATAGTAAGGGGTGTGCCCCTTGACCCTGGATCTCTTCAGCATGGTATTGACATTTCACAGAAGCAAGATGTTGGCTGCCATGGTTCCCCTGCTTTACCTGTGCCAGGTTAGGGTGTTATGCCTGTGTTGTGTCAGGGTTGACAGTAGTTTTATGTAGAGTTTTGATTATGGATTGTGTAGGATGGTTCGGGTAGGGATGATCCTGCCTCAGGCAAGGGGCCGGGCTAGTTGACCCCTTTCCCTACTTCTCACTGATTCTGTGATTCTCTTAATCTATTTCATACTCAGCCTTGCATTGTTGTGTGTCCTTGGGCGCAGCTGGGTGTGGGATGTTCCTTCATATTTCACATTTCTTGTGTTGTAGGTGGCAGCTGTATCCAACTTTGAGGGAAGGAGTTAGCATTTGCTATGTGGTGCCATTGCAGAAGCCACAGCATCTTTCTGGGGAGCCTGAAATCGATGTTGGCTGGATGAGGAGTAAAAGTGCCAGAAGACATCAGTAGAGACCTGGACTGACCTGTAAGTACCCAGAGCAGCACAGTCAGGAGCAGAACTCAGGTGTCCCAGGTTACAGCCCATCAGCATCCCCTAAATAGATGTAGAGGCATACTCCAGAGCCCACTGTTGTGTTTCTACTGTCCATGCATGTTCGATCCAGGGAGGCAGTAGGTGAGTAAGGGCTTAAGCTTCTGCTAGCAGAGATGCAGGGATCTTTGTGAACTGCAGTCACAAGTCATCACACTAAAGTATTCACTGTTGTTAGATTTTATAACTGGGGAGCTGATGGGTCCTGGTGTTGGGACAGGTCTGTGGGGGAGGTGGAAGAATGAGAAATGCAAGATGCCCTCCTGTGTGTGTGGTCTTTGCCTCCCACTCTGTCCCTGCTGGAAATAAGTGTAAGCCCCTCTGGATCTTAAATATACACCACACAGATTCTGCATTGTTTATGAACCTTGCCAGGTACTTTTCATGTGTGTCTGCTTTGTTCTGTCTGGCAAATCCCTCTCAGGTTTCCCTGCAGGCCTCTGCCACTCCCTTACCACACACAGACACCCAGCAACCACAAATCACATATATTTTTTTCTCTTTCACATTCTCCCTGCTTCTTTGAATATCCCATCCCCTTAGTAATGGTTGTTGGGCAGGGGTGTGTGGAACATGGGTTGCCAACCCTCCAGGACTGCCCTGACGTTTTCCAGGAGCGTGAACGGTGTGTGACCCTGGCAGCTGGTGGGGCTCAGCTGCACAGGCGGTGGCGGGAGCACAGCGGGAGCAGTGGAAGCCCGGCAGCAGTAGGATGGGACCTCCCACCGATGCCACTGGCACTGTCGGTGGGCAAGGGGGTGGTGATCAGCAACCAGGGGTCAGCGACCACCTTCAGGCGCCGGCGGTGGCCAATGGTGATTGTGGACTGTCCACAGACGCCACCGGTGGTGTGGCCAGTGGCAACCGCCCACAGGTGCCACCAACAGTGTCAGTGGCACCTTTTTGCAGGGAGTGCACCGCCACGCTCAAGGGGTGCACATGCACCCGCATGCACCTCCTATGCATTGCCCCTGTCCAGGAACTCTATATACATCTCCAGCAGACTGCTGAGAGTCACCCAGGAGACAAATGATAGAGCATTCATTAAAATAAATATTAAATTTTGAATCCAATTTATACAGTAGTCCAGTGGGTTTTTAAAATGTAGTAGTAGTGTGCATTTGCCTTTTGGACGTAATGTCTACTCACCGTAACCCGAACTGATATGTGTGAGCACATGGGCACATCCGTGTTGTGTTTGGTACACATGTTGGCATTCCAGAAACCTTCAAGAATAGATTGAAACAGAGCTGGCAACGCTAGTGTGGAATACCAGGAATCAGAAGGAAATGAATTTTAACTAACCCCCAAAAACTGCTCACAAAGCCAAATTGGAGTACCCACCCAGCAACTTGCCAGCTGCCTCAGGACGCTGCCTGAGATGTTACCAGTTTGGGGCTCCATTGTGTTGGACGCTGCACACATCCTGGCACTTGACTTCCTATGTTGCCTTGGGCAAGTCTTTCATTCTCTGTGTTCATCTCTGTGTTATTCCCTGCGAGTGCTCAGCTCATATGACAAACATTCAAGGTATTCAGTCATTAGTTACTTCTCTTGCATTGGTTCTGCTCCAAGTATTCTTGGGGAGTTTTTGAAGTGCATACCTCAAATAACCCATCCTGAGTGATCGTCATGGGCCGATCTCAGAGCTTGAAAAGTGGGGTGCAGATGATGTGGTGCATCATCACATATAACCCCCCACATATTTTTTTTTCCAGTTAAAGAGAAATTAGGAGAATTACTAATAGGCAAGGGGACAGAGCTGTATTATTGAATTTAATAGCAAAGCAAAACCAGATACAATTTTATTGGAATCTACACTAATCTATGTAATATATCAAGTTAAAAATGCAACGAAGTAGGCAAAAATAGTTAAAAGACATTGTTTTATTATTCCTGTAGTCATTATGGTTAAATGCACTTTTCTTATTCAGATTCCTAAAGCAAAATCTAGCCTTTTTGAGTATCTTGACAGTGTATCACACCCTTCACTATCAGTCATTGCCACACCTGAGTTAATGTCTGCCAGAGTTAATATTTTTATATTATATTACTCAAGGCACTTGAGTTAATGTTTTTAGCTAGAAATTAAAACAGTCTGAAGGGCTGTGAAATAAAACAGAGATGGTTCTAGGAATGGCTAACTGGCAGCAAATTACAGAAGGATAGCTAATCAGTTAAACATCAAGATCATTGAAAAGGAGACTGGGTCTTTAACACCCATGGACTGAAGAGCACTTAGCAGGAATCAGGTGGATTATAATGAAGAATCAATTGACTCTGTCAGCACTGCCTGAATAGAAATGTTGCTGGCCCTCCCGGGCAATTGGTATTAATGTTTAATTAGAGCAGGGATCAGGAGGAGAGGGGGGCATGCCTACATGCCACCCCTACAAGTGATGATGTCACGAGCACTTTGTTTCTGAAAACTCATCTAACATCTGGTCCGATAAAATTATATCACCAATTAAACAAACCTTGCTTCTCTCTTGTTTTCTGATAGGTGGAAATGCCCCAGTCTTACTGCTGATTGGTCAGAGAATGGCAGAAGAGCGAGTACATGTACATGATACTAGTAAGTAATCGTTTTTTCCCTTCGTGAAGAGAGATTTTTGAGAGGCTTAACAGAGTTGTAGGAGACAACCCCAATTTTGGTCTGCTTTTTGTGAGAGGTAAAGAAGATATGGAAATATGTTCATTTACTTCAGGGTTGTCTTTTCCATTAGCTGTTTGTTTGGGTGTCTCCTACCCTGGGAAGACTGTAGGTTCAGCTGGAGATCTGGGGCAGTGAATAGGGAGTACCTTCTGTACCATCTCTCCAGCATGGTATTGTGGCACTACAGAGGGCTCAGGGAAAGGCGAAGAGAAGGACCAAGAGACAGGAAACCCTGGGTGGAGAAACTGAAAAGGTCAGGCTTATGCATGTCAGGCAGGGGCCAGAATAGAAAAGGCTGAAATAATTCCTCAGTTACAGAAGAGGATGTCAGCCATCTCTGGTCCCACAGATAAGACAGTCATCCTCGCTTCCTCACTGAAGAAGAGAAGAGGAATGAGAAGCTTCTTTTATTCAACTCTCGAAGCATAGGATGAAGGAATCAGTCAGCAAAATCAGAATACGGAAAATTCAAAATAGGTCAAAGGAACATACTTTTTCCCTCTGTGTGGTGCCATTTAAATGGCAGAACCACCAGTGCTTTGAGCATTGATACAGGTAGCAAGAATATTCAGAGTGAAATCCATTAACGCAAACAAAAATGTTGGCAGGGATATTATGTCTGACACTTTAATGGTTTTAAACTGATCTCTAGCTTTTGGAGACCAAAATCAGCCCTCCAGTTGGTATATGACACTCTCTTTCTTGGCCTGTGTGCATTTCAGAATAAACCTTTTTGTAGTGTTATGTCAAGCTATTAGTTAAACTTTGACAATGACTTGCTAGTTAGGATAAGGGCCAAAAGGCTTAGCTAAACTCTATAGGCATGTTTATATGTGCATTAATGTGCCGTAATTATAGTGCATTACATTTAGTACCTGTAATAACAGGCACTCACTTAATGCACTGTAATCAGCACTACTGCACAGTAGCACTGGTGCGTGTCTTTTAGGTGACACTAATGCACAGTAAACTACTTCTGCTGCACATGAATATATTAGCACAGCTTTTGCCATGATGCAGCAATGCGCAGTAGAATTTAGTCTACTGAGCTTCTAGTGTTTCGTGTAGATGCTCCCTGTGTGAGCTTTAGTCTTGATTCTGTTTGAGGCCCTACATGGGGTGTGCATCTGGTGTAGACTGAACCCTCTGTCCATTGATATGTTATGGTCAGCCTACGCAAATATTGATTTCTCTGAGTCCCTCCTGCTTGTTCTTTTTTTTTCTTTTCAGATGCATTTATTAATTGCCTACTGCTCAGATTCTTCTCTTGGAATGACTTCAGACAGGGTCACCAGCAGGGCTTGAACCAAGGACTTCTAGAGCTACAGTACAAGTCTCTTACTCTGCAAACTGAAGAAGTAACTTCTTCAGCAGGTGGCAGCAGTAGACTGCAATCTTCCATGCAATAGCTAGTAGAAAGACCAAAGCACCCATTTTTGGCAAGTGTCATTAGCCTGGCCTCATGAAAGAAGCTTATTCAAAATAGATGAACTGGGCAAAAATTAGTGTAATATTTTTGTAGTGACTTCATGTAAGCTTATCAGTAAAGGTCAAATCTTGGCTGTTCAGCACCAGATTATACATTTTGCATTGCTTCATGAGCTGGTAGTAACAGGTGTTGGTTCTGTTATGAGCCACTGGAGGGGGTGATGTGATATACAAGTTGCCAAATGTGTAACATACTCTGTAATCACCCTAGCTCTTCAATATAGGACAGGATGGCTTGTCACAGAACATTAAGGACCCAGGATTTGGAGACACTGAGCAGAGGGAATGTATTAATTATCTTATGTTGCAGCAGGCCCTGCATGGAAGAATGAATTGACCATTGTGAGTGAGAGTCTGGTTTTTTTTGTAACAGGTGGCGAGGTAGAGTCAACACTGCCTTCTCAGGTGACAGCAGAACATCAGAGGAGAGCTTCCCGTAAATATTTATTTTGTTATTTATTAGGTATATCACTTAAAGATGAAAACTGAGCTTCATTTTGCTGAGTTTTGGAGAGAGAGAGACACCAGGCACATTTACATGTGCGCTGTAATGTGCATTAGCTTATTTTAATGTGCATTAAAGCATCACAAAACAACCAGGGGGTATTTATACACATATGTTTATCTGCTCCAACATGCTGGAAATCCAGCAATATAGAGCAGACGTGATTAATCAAGTCTGTGGAGCACACAAACTAATATGCCTGGAGCTGTGCCACATTCATTAATATAAATGGCGAAATGTGCGTCAGCACTAGGAAAATGGTGGTGGTGTGCTTTGAAACTAAAACATTTTCAATGTATTTTAGTTCAAAAGCGCACCACCACCATTTTCTCAGTGCTCATGCACATTTCACTGTTTATTAGGACTGTGAAAAATTTTGCCGGCTGTTTCAATTTGACACTGTTTCGACTCATTTCAATCTTGAAACAGTGAAATCGAATTGAAACAAAGCACTTCAAAACAGCCTCAAAACAGAACAAGGCTAGTTGAACCATTTCAAAGGTTTCAAATTTCAAAGCAGCCAGCAGGTGGGAGACAGGGGAGAACCAGGGTTGAGCTCCCAGAAGCAGCTGGGAGCGCAGCCCTGGCTCTCCCCGTCTCCTACCACCAGGCTGCAGAAAGCCGATCACAGCACAGGGGAAGGGAAGGGAACTGAGCCTGAGCTCAGTTCCCCTCTCAAGTGCTGGGATTGGGCTGGGGAAAGGAACTGAGCCCAATTGCTCAGTTCCCCTCCCCAGCCCTATGATCGGGATGAGAACTCAGCCCAGCTGGGCTGAGTTCACATCCCCCCACTCTAGATTGGGCTGGGATGGGAAGTCAGCCCATTCACAATCTGATCTAGCGCAGGGGATGGGAAGTCAGCCCAGCTGGGCTGAGTTTCCAATCCCAGCCCAACCAGCACGTTGGGCAAACGAACAAGAAAATGTTTATTGAATCAAATACAAATTCAATCAATTTTCTTTTGGTTAAAAAAAGTTGATGGGACAACCTTGACCTTTTTAAGATGAGATACTTTAAAGGGCCCTGGATTATTACCAAGCATTGGGCACCTGCCCCTGGAAAATCTGGCTACTCTCTAAGGCATCACTGACTGAGCATATGAAAATGTGGTGAATCTAAGATAAGTATTAATTTCTGAAAATCCTGAATATGAACTGAGACCAGGAAGAGCTTTGTCTTCATCTAAGGCAGTAAGAATAGTACTAACCAATACCCAGCTTTTTTATAGCACTCTTTATCAGCTAATACTCAAAAAGTATCTGTATTATTGCCTTTCAGTGGAGAAACTCAGGTACAAAGAGATGGCATTTCAGGTATCCTTGGCGCAGTCACTGCAGATGACTTGACAGTGAGCCTTCTAACAACATAGCAACATTTATGTCCATAAATGGCAGCTGGTCTAGTCTTTAGTGATATTTCTGTGCCCTCATTAAAGATCAGCCCACCCTTCCGCCACAGACAAACACACACACACAAAATCCTGGTAGTACCTAAACCAATGCCACTACCTCAGGGGTGGCCCTAAAAATTGCTGTCCTGATCAACCAGCTCCTGCCCCTAAAGTCTGCTATGACAGCCTGAAAAGCTGTTGGAACCCTTTGAAGGTGTCTGCTTGAGTTTGTCACAATCTGGGAATGAATTCTAGTAGAATAAAGGGCTTAGTCTGTCTGTCTGTCTGTCAGTCTATGTGTCTGTCTGTCCATAATACTTTTGGGCAACTGCGCATGCACCACCTAGAGGGCTGGTAGCAATTGGCTATGGGGGCTCCACCTCCTCAGGCAGGGAGGCAGGAGCCCCACAGCTCTGCGGGAGGAGGCACAGGCAGGGGCAGCTGGGTCAGGGGCGGGGGAGGCGCACCGCCACTGCCACCACCGCCTCCTCAGGTGGAGGGAGGCCCCACTGCTCTGCAGGAGGAGGAGGAGGCAGAGGCGGGTGAGGGGGAAAAGAGCCGCCACCGCTGCCACCTCCACTTTCTCAGGCAGAGGGAAGGCCCGCTGCTCCATGGGAAGAAGTGGAGGAGAGTTGGCAGGTGGGCAGGGGGGAGGGAGGAGCTGCCACAGCCACAGTCCTCACCTCCTCAGGGGGAGGGAAGCCCTGCTGCTCTGTGGGAGGAGGCAGAGGCAGAGGCAGGCAGGGGGAGGGAGCTGCCACCACCACCACTGCCACTGCCACCGCCTCAGGTGGAGGGAAGCCCCGCTGCTCCATGGGAGGAGGTGGAGGTGGAGGTGGAGGCGAAAGCAGGCAGGCGGATGGGCAGGAGGGAGCCGCCGCTGGAAGGAAGCTCAATATACTTCTGTGACAGGAGGCACGTGCAACTCTCATGATCTGGGGGTGGCTGATACATCTCCTATGCACATGATTTTCTTTCATGTCTCTCTTCCAGATTTCAGCCTGAAGTGCCTAAAAGAGAAAAGTGTCCCCATTGCAGTTATTGTCCTCATCACAGTTCTGATCATCATCATCATTGCATTGGCTAGTGAGTAAAGACCTGTCTGGGAACACTGTGCATACCAAGATGACAGACTCCTATGTTAACTGTCTCACAGCCGTAGCTTTGGCTGAGCACTGCAACTTGTGCCTGAAGCAACAAATGAGGTACTGGCAGTATCTCGATAAGGCTTGTGATGTGGAAGCAGCACTTTATTTATAGGAGCTTATATAAAGAATGACTTCCAGTAAAGAACAAACAGTCTCGCAACTTGTCTGGGCTAAGGTCTGGGGACTATGCTTGTCATAAACTAAGTCCTCCTGGAAACTTAGAGTGTCCTAAAAGTGTGGTGTCCCTGGAGACAGTCTGGGTGAGGCAGCAGACACCAGAATGTTCCTCTAGCCTCCTGCCTCATTCATCCTATCTCTTGGGATACCACACCTCCTAGACACTCTAGGCGTTAGGGCTGTGCAAAGCTTCAGGCCCTGATTCGATTCAGCAGAGATTCGGCCTGATTCAGTGGCTAAATCTCCGAATCTGAATCGAATCAGAGGACCCTTTAATCTGTTCAAATCAATTTGGAGAGATTTGTTAAGATTCAGTGATTTGGACATAGAGACAGCTTTAAATGTTTTTTCTACATACCTCGAGGTACCAGGTGGCTTGTGAATGCTGCGATGCTGGGGCTCATGGAGTGTCCCATGGAAGCATGCGGGGTGCTCCCTGGTGTGCTTGGCAGCAGACCCAGAAGTGGAATACAAGCACTTCCAGCCCACGTCTGGATCCACCAGAGAGTGTACAGAGGGGCCCCCTGCGCCTCCCTGGCTCGGTGACTGGTGCCTCCTGGATCTCGGGGGGGGGGGGGGCCCCGGCGCCATGCTG